ATACTTCAGGCCCGAGATTAAGAGCTTTTTTGCTTCACATACTCTTCATCATTTTCACATATGCTGCTAATCTTTTTTTTGTTTTGTATTTATGAGTACATTTATGCAAGTATTAAGGCCTGTATATATTTTGTGTATACATAGTTATTAAAATATTTGTATTGTGGGTGGCCTACGAATTAATTGGAATGACCAGTTATGACATTATATGATTTTATGAGTTACTGCAAAGTATAAGCTTATATTCTATTAAGAGAAAGTAAGATGAATAACAGTAGCACTACTAGTACAAGGGAAGAGCTCCATGCTCTAGCAGTAGCAGCAGTTCTTACTGTTGAGATGATACTAGCTCTGATAGCTAATGGTGTGGTACTGTCTATCACACTCTATCAAAGGAAGTCCTGGAAACAATCATCAACAATATTCTTCACTTCTCTCATACTGGCACATCTTGTATTGAATCTACTGTACCTTCCTTTCACTATTGTTGCATTAGCTGCTGGTGGGTGGATCTTTGGTAGTACAGATGAGGAGAAGTCACATACATGTGCCTTTGTTTCTTACTTATACTGGATAATTACATAATTAATATTACAATACTTTTATTGATGTACCGCCTGAACTTTTTGTTTCCATTGTTATATTTCTCCTTTTTATCACAACAGCCAGTCCTATTATCCAGTCATACTTCAGGCCTGAGATTAAGAGTATTCTTGCTTCACGCTGTCCTCTTCTCTTTTAGTGTGCATACTGTTAATTCAATTATTAATGTATGGTTGTACCAATTGATGTTGGACACTAGTTTTTGCATACTTTATTTTCTCTTAGTTATTAATCTATTGATAATTGTCTGTCGTGTTGCTATTTCTGGTTCTTTACAGATTACATAATTGTGACATCATGCCTTTGATACTGTAGGTCCATTTTGCCTTTTCCTGCTATCAACTATGTCTAATCTTTTATCATAGTAAGTAATAGTGCCTTGTAATAGAGTAGTACAAGATATAAGCAAGTATTATAGTTATTAGGAGAAATTAGATACTGTAGTTATGGAAAGCAACTTTACTTTTACTGTTGAGTTCAGTGGTCCAGCGGTAGCAGCAGTTCTTACTGTTGAGATGATAAACATGTAAATACTATGTGTAGATGTACATGCACATGTATAGTGAAAGCAATGTATAACCACTTGTTGAGCATTCTGATTGGTCAGTTGAAATGTGATATGATACATTACAATGTATATACATGTATACATGAGTAAACATCCGTTACTACATGTTATTAAAGTGTGTTCTCATGCCACGCCAATGACTAAACAAAATAGTTACTAATTAGCTTACTGCACTTAGTGACAGATGTATGGTGTATTTATTAATTAGTAGATGAGTACTGTTTAAATTTAGCATGCCTCATTACTGTGCAAAAATTATCATCACTCAAAATAAACCAGATTTATAGTAACTACATGATTTACATATGTTTTTATCTTCTCTATCCCTCCCTCTATCCTAATAATAGTTATCAATATGACTGGAAGTTAGAGGAAGCTCAGAAGAACATTCTCCGGACTCACACTACTGCTGTTAGCACAAGAATGCTCTACAAACTTGGACAACAAGTGGGTGTGGTTCATTCTCATGAATAATTAATGAGCTACTAGTAAAAGCTGATTATATTAATTTTCATGATTTATCAGCTAACGATGAGTAGCCATAGCAACCACTTTATATTATAACATCAGGTGTGACTTTTATCACCTACTGTGTCGGAATAAAGTGACAAATGTTTTACTTTACTTTTAGCTAATTTTACTTATCTTTCCTTGAGCTGTATAAATTTTTATCCTTTATCTGTTCAATTTTGTAGAAAGAGTTCACTCCTGTCAAATATTTTTCTATTGATCGTGTTTTTCGCAGCGAGACACTTGACGCAACTCACCTGGCCGAGTTCCATCAGATAGAGGGTGTGGTTGCTGATTATAATTTAACCCTCGGGGACCTCATGGGAGTCCTGTATGCTTTCTTTAGTAAAATGGGTAAGTATTGATAATATAGTTACATGAAAATACTACATGTACATGTATGCCATATGATACATTTATAACTACTTGTTGAATGTTATGATTGGTCAATTGAAATGTGGTACATGTTAGTAATGTGTGTTCTCATGCCATGAGGATAGTTACTAATTAGGTTACTAATTTGGTAGTCATTAATTTACATGTAGTGGTCCATTAAGTATACAAAGTGATTTCGGCAAAGAATGAATGACATGCACTATTGTCTATATAAAGTGTGGTTGGTAACTACATGTAAGTTTCCTTAAATTAATAATGC